TCCCTCTCTCATAATTTATCTATAAAAAATAAATCTCTTTGTCTTTTCATTATTCAACATTTTTTCAATATTCTTCTTAATTTCCTTGAAATCCTTTATATATAATATTTGAGAGTTATGCTTCTAGAATAGTGACATGTGGTGAGCTTATTGGGCAATTTGTTGACATGTCAGCACGTCATGCCATCAAGTTATATTTAAATAATTAATTAATAAAAAAACTTATTCTATGAAAATTAAATTTTTACACAAAAATTTCTCAACATAAATGCATTTAAAACTTTTATATCTTAATTCTTTGTTGGAAAATATTTAAATTAAATAATATATTTTGAAATTGAAAAAAGAACTCATATTCAAAAACCATAATCAAAAGAAAGAAATTTATTCTAAAAACGGATAGATTGGTAAAACTATAAGAAAATACATTTGAATATTTGTTTTTACTTTGAATTAATCCTAATTGGAGATATTTTCCAACTTTGAAAAAAGAGAAATAGATATATAAAAGAAAAGTATTTTTATGTGCATGTTTATTTAATAAAGTTATAATTTTATTCCGTATATATTTAAAAAAATACTAAGTTAAATAAAAAGTATGTTCCATTTTAAAATTGGTATATTCTATTTTTAAATTCTTATTTTCTATTACAAACTTTGTAAAAATTTATAGATGTGTGCCACAAATTTACTATTTTCCATTAATAATTTTTGAGATAATGAAGACTTAGTATGTGAGTATTTATGTGTGAGAAATTAATTATTATTTGATGTTCCTAATCGAAATATTTACGATATAATATTAATTTTTATAAGTGTAATTACTATTAATTAAAATTCTTGAAAATAAAAAACATGCCTATTTTGACATTTATGTCAAAATAATATAATTAAGTAATATTCTTACTTTTTTATTCATCTGACCGTCATCAACAACAATGTAACAAATATTAGTCGATAGTAGAACTTTTTTATGTTTAGAATTTTTAGATAAAAATATTTACAATATTTATTTTATGATGGTTTTTACAAATACAGAAGGAGAGAGGTCGTCATCGGCTATAACCTCGCATCATTGAACACGTTCGAGAAAGAATGTGCTCTATGATTTGACAAATGGTATTTTTATTATTTTGAATTAAATATTTAATTTTTCCAGTAATTTTTTCCCAAAAAATTTATACGGTGCTCCAATCCGAGAATAATTACACAAATCATCGTGCTTTCAAATCCATAAGAGACAGAAGAGAATTGATCTATCTTCTATAACACATGTTTTTAATTTCTTTGAGCATGGTAATAAAACAATTATCTTTGTGTATTAACTAACTATGTGTATAAATTATTATGTACTACGTAAATTAATATGGTGGACATACTCGAGCTTGAATTTCCATCTCCCATGGCTAAAATTTGTAACCTTCAGAGATCAACAAAAGCTAAAAGATATTGTCGAAAAAATATGACAAAGCTTCAATATTTGAAGCTTGGATGATTTTCAATACACAGTATGATGCGGGATAAAATTTGACGTATGCAAAGAATTTCCAGAATTTCCAGATCTTTTTGTGTACAACCACAAAGCGCGAAAATGGTCTGATGCAACAAAGACCGTCAATAGACAGGCTACAATATGTGTGTCCAAAAACCAGAGAGTTATACTACTTGAGAATATTATTAACTATCCAACGATGATGTATAAGTTATAAGAGCTTGAGAAGAGTTAACAATGTTCTACATAACGCATTCATAGAAGCATGTGAAGCATTAAGGTTATTAACCGATGATAAATAGCTTATTGAAGATATAAAAGAGATTGCTAAGTTAAGTATCATGAGTCACCCACATATTGTTTTTAAAAAACAATAGGAACTCCTGGTGAATGAAATTTTATTTGATCGAATGTGAATATTGTGGAATCAAGGTACTTGAATGTAAAGAAAGTTTTTAAACGTATCAATCAATTTGAAATGCATTATATGAAAACAAAACTCTTTAATTGAGTGCTGCATAGAAACAAATAAATCCTTTTTTTGTAGAGTTATAATCTCACGAGAAGACCTAAAAAATTTATGTCTAATTGAGATTGAAGAGTTACTTATTTGGAATGAACGGTCTTTAAAGGAATTCAGTGGCATGCCATTTGGAGATGACAATCAACTTAATAGATATCAAAATAATTTCTTGGTAGATGAGTTAAACTATGTCCATGAAAAGTTGTCATTTGATCTTAGAGGATATTATATCTATGATGAATGAATATGAGTGGAATAAATCTAATGAAATAATGGAAGTCGTGATAGCTGAAAGAGAGAGTTCTTTTTTGTGCATGGTTACGGTGGAACTGGAAAAATATTTCTCTAGACATCATTATCTGCTTTTCTGAGGTCAAACAGTAATGTTGTCCTGAATGTCACATCCAACTACATTGTAGCATTGATTTTACCTAGGGGAAGGAGACTCGAGATTTTTAATCCCTTTGGTGCAAATTGAGTGCTCATTGTGTGCCACTAAACAAGGGAGCCCGAAAGTAGATCCAATATAACAAGTATAATCATACGGGATTTATCATCTACGATGAATATATTTTCTTTTGAGACATTAGATTGCACAAAGAGAGATGTAATGAGAATTTCTAATAATAACTTCATAAATTAATCATACGAAGGAAAAACAATCGTACTCAAAGGTGATTTTATCCAAATTCTTCCAGTTTTAATCATAGTTTTGAGAGAGGAAATTGTAGTTGCTACCACCAATTCCTCACAAATGTGGTTATATTGTAAAATTTATACGTTGACAAAAAATATGAGATTGCATTAATCTATACTCTCTTGCACAAATTTTTTCTGATTGGATAATCAAAGTCGAAGATAGAAAATTTAGACAAGTGATCAATGGAACTGCTCGCGTTGAAATCCCGTCTGAATTCTTGATTCTTGACATAAGTTATCACCTCAAGAGAACAATGGAATTCACTTATCCGAACCTACTAGAGAACATGAAAAATTATTTTTTTAAGGATAGTGCAATATTATCACTCACACCCAAGTTTGTTGAATGGTAAATGAATTTGTCATATCCTTTATTCTAGGAGGTGAAAAGGAGTACTTAAGTTCTGATTCTTCATGCAAAGTTAACAATTGGATAACACTTCAATTTTTTAATAAAATTAAATGTTCGTGGATCCTAAACCACAAAATAGTTTTTAAAAAGGGGGTACCGATTATGTCATTGAAGAACATTAACCAAATATCTGGATTTTGTAATGGTATAAGATTAATCGTTGAGAAGCTGAGAAAGAACATTATCACTGCCATTGACGTTTCGAGAAATCAATTGGGAAAAAGATTTATATACCCCGAGTGAATTTGGTATCATTTGATTCAGAACAACCATTAAAATTCTAGAGAAGACAATTCTTAATATTCTTATATTTTGTTATGACTATTAACAAAAGTCAAGGTTAAACATTGTCTTTTATTGTATTATTTTTAACCAATTCAATATTTACTCATGGTTAGCTTTATGTTACTTTTTCACGAGTGAAGACAAAGACATAATTAAAAATATTGGTTCTGGATGATAATGGAAATTCTTACAAACATACCAAAAATGTTGTGTACCCTAAAATCTTTGAAAAAATTGGAATTAAAAAAAGATTTTTTGAGTACACTTTCAATTCCTCAAATATTATTTATTCTACTTTGTCGTTATTTATTGATTAAAAATTGTGTTAGAAATATATTTTATTTGATTCCGAAAAATATATTACATTGAAAAAAATTGAAATCGACAAAAATTTTGTTCGACCCCGTGCGTCGCACGGGTCAAAATACTATACTAGTTAATTTAAGATGGATGAACTACATCCCATCAGGCCATCACTAAACTCCACTCTTGACATCTTGTTGGGTTATTGTTGTATGCAGGTAGATCACTGCAATCTTTTGTGATTGGGACCATATATCAACTGGTTTGAGAGAAAGAGATAAATTGCATTAAACTATACTGTGAGTTACTAACTTAATTTCACTGGTTTCAATTTTCAACCAAGTGAAAACTCTGTCAAAAAATACTTTCACATTTATCAGCTAACCTAAACCTAAAAATTTTCTTTGTGGAAATTGAAGCGGGTTGACGTATTCAAGCTGAATTCCCGGCAAAGCTTCTGTAGAGATTTCGTAAGCGTAGGGCTCCCACAATAGAATACTCCTGCAGATACCATATGAACTATCAAGCAATGTAATACAAAACATACCATAAATAAGATTTTGGGTGGTTGCAACTTGCGAATTGCCGGTTGTTTAGTTAGTTTCTTTTCGAAATCTAAAAACAAGAGTTTGGATTTCTGTTATAGTTCTCATCAAGATTAACATGATTATAGCATAAATATGCGTGAATTTCGTTTATTATCCAATGTAAACCAAAAATCCACAACCTGCAACCACCCCGAACGTGGCCTTAGAATTTTAGTTTCACGAACCACAACCAAGTAAACAAGATATATTTTCCAGTACCAATTCTAGAAGAGGGATGTGCGGCTGCCATTTGAGAGAACACTTTTTTCCAGTTTGGTCTAGCAAAGTGTGTTCTTATCTGTTGAAAAAGAAGTGTTCTTGAGCTACTCGTTTTTTTTCTTAATAAGAATCGATGAGTGGTCTGTCAAGTAATTACCCGGCTGTCTGAAACAACATCAACTCCATTTTTGGCATGTTGCAGAGACTGCACCATGGCAATGAGTGCAGAGCGGGCATCTCCTTCTTCGTACATGCTCGTTAAATAGTTGTGCATCTCTATCACATGCTGTAATGTTTATAGAACACACATCATTAGTTCATAAGTACGTGTTACTCCGTAATATAGACAAATGATGAGATGTTAAAGTCGTTAGACGGTTTATATATGAATTAGGGCTCCCACATTTTGGTCATACTCAGCTATGTCATCCATGACACCTTTGAACCATTCAAATGATCCTTGTTCTCGTGTCACCCAGTAGAAATAAGCTCTATGAGGCCCCGCCCTATTAGGTTCCACATTCGACACATGGAACTCAAGGTTTTGCGGCTCCTGCATATATATAGTTTGAAGGCATAAATATAGAAAGCATTGTGTGAGTTTTTACTTTTTAGTGTGGAATCTCAAACCTTGATAACTTAACATGTCTAAAGCCGGATTCATGAAGTTATTAGAGTGACAGTTTCTAATCTCTATAGTAACTCCATCACAGAGTTAATTACTACTGATAATGTGTTTGCAATATAGCTAGTCGTCACCACGACCTTAGTAGAACAGGATCTATTCTATAGGCTTGTACCTCTGAATCTTTAACTCTAAGGAGAGAGTAATAATAGCTACTCATCATCTGTGAGACTGTGACCAAAATGTCCAGTTCAATAATGTGGGATATAAACTCGAATGTAAGTGTTTGCCTAACTCGATTACTACAAGGCCTTTGGGTACCAAAAAACTGTGCAGGATTGACCTAAAGTTGACAATATTTCAATGTGAAGTTGATATTTGGGCAGTCCTAACACATACTCCCTTTCTCCCTAAAATAAAGTCACAGTTTGACTTTTCCAATCAAAGTTTATAAATTTTGACCAACACTAAGTCACTAACGTACAAAATGAATTAAAATTTAATCCAACTTTAATGTCATTGAATTCATTTTTAAATGTCTTCTAGAGTATATATTAAATCTATATAATTTGGTTAAATATAACCATAGATATTACTCATTAGTGGTCAAAGTGTTATATCAAAGACCATGAGGAAAGTAGATAGAGTTGTAAGAATGTTTTCCAATATTCACAAGTGTGAGAGTAAATAAAAATAATAATGTGCAACAAAAAATAAAAGAATAGATAAGATAAGGCACATTGCACAAGGATATATCCTGGTTCACCACAACTTATGGCTAATTGGCTAGTTTAGGTTACTGAATGACTCACTCAAGATTCCACTACCTATCAAGCATAAGTGTGCTTGACAAACCATTACAACACTTAGGGATACCTCACCCTAATATTTCATTAGCTTGGAGATACCTCACTCTAAGACTTTGCTACTCGGATATACCTCACTCCAAGACTTCACTTGTTCAAGATATCTCTCTAAGATTTCACTACAAGAAGAGTAATCTTCTCAACACTCAAGGATAAACTCTCTGGTAAGAGTAGAAATCAGTTACAAATAAAATCTCAAATCTTATTCACTCAATAAAACAATATGAAAAAAAGCTCAATAAGAATTATTAAACACTTGAGAATGAAAGTATAGAAGGCATGTATTGTAGGGTGAATTTCTTAAGAAAAGTTAATTGAGAATGGATATCTTTAGATGCAAAAGACAATCTCTATGGGTGAAAAAGAAGAACTGATGCAGCAAAGCAGCTTGATGATCAATTAGCACATCCCCGCTAAGCGATTAGCAGGGCTAAAAATTGCCCTACGGAAATGCCCAAGTCTCTATCTAATCAATCAGCACCATTTTGCTAAACGTTAGCAACCTCAAAAAAAAGGAAAGACGTTGCAGCTTGAAAGGGACCCAATATGGATATGTATATGAATGTGGGATTCCTTTGAAAACTTACTCAAGGTTTAAACTAAATCCGTTTTTAATTGGTCTGCTTCAGCTGTGTTTGAACATTTCTAATCTTTGCTCAGCTTGTAATTGTCATTTATGAAATTGTGTAAATCAACACTTAAGTGACTTAACAGAATAAAAAGGTTCAACTCATGCATTCCAACCCTATATGAAGTATATACTTACGGTGACAACTGCTTCACTGTGTAAGATATCTTTGATAATACTGATGAATGGCGTTGCTCCAATGCCTAAGCCAATGAGTAAAAGGATGTCATATTTCTTGTAATTCTGAGCTGGTGCACCATAGGGTCCTTTTATTAAAATTGCTGGAAATCTGAGCCACCAAAGGTAGTATATACTCTGTATGTTAGTTGGGTTGATGAAAAAGAAGCTGTGAAACACTACTAGAGCAATTACAAGTTAATTTTCTTACACTGTTTGTGACTCCCCAGAAGCATTTGAGTAGGCTTTAGTTTCCATCCTCACAAGATTTCCCTTTATTGATTGCACAGATTGCGGTTCACATGCCTGCATTCGGAAGAGTTAGAACACAAAAACCAAATAAGCAAGTCAATGTTTGATAATAAAAAAAATGTATATAGTTGATCACTCATCTCCTGATAACTAGAAAAATGAGTGCAAACAAACGGGCACTACATTTTCCTTCCATATTTAGTGTGCTCACACGCAAGCACTCACACACACACACATGCACATATAATAACCTTTGCAAATTTGTTTTTAAGCTCTGTCGTCCAATCGCCAAGCGTACGAATGTGGACACTTAAGTAGTTGTCATCAGGTGCAGAAGTGATTGAGAAAGGATGCCTGTAGGGAGAGTAAAGGGGGACTAATTTTAGCATAAATCGCAACACGGGCGCTATAAAAAACCATTTTTGACTCAATTCATTACCATTCAAAACTTGATATATCCCGACATTTTACGAAAATGTACATTCCACTCTTATACTTGAATGTTGGAGGCTTGCTCATGTACAGTGCTAAAACATTTCCTGTATATATCACTGCCTGTAAATTTTTCCATAAAACATTTACTTAACAAAATGTTCCAAAAAAGGATTTTATGCAAACTTTTTTCCTTATGTTGCAGAAACAATAAATAAAAAGAGAAGTGTCATGTTGCTCGTGCACCTTTTTGATGTTCACATCGTATTTATTTTCGTAGACGAGGAAAACTCTTTCACTGGCATATGCTATCATTGGTACTATGATATACATCCACGTCTGCTAAAGGACTGTTCATATGTTAGCATGTTACAAAGACAGATTTGAGTTGGTAACAAGCATGAACGAAGATTTAAAAAATAAATTGGAATGCTTCTTCTTGTTTTTTATCTGATTAGAAGTAGACCAATGCCTTAAATGTAGGGTTGTATTGTTATAATGTATTTTACCATCAATGATTTGGCATAAAAAAGCATGGTTAGTAGAATATGATCAAACATACCGTCTTTTTATACCATTCTTGTGTGAGGAAGATAAAGTAGCCGTGGATGATAAAGAGGAAGTAGACTACTACCAGCAGATGATGTGCATACCAAAAAGCATTAAACCCTGCTAAATGATGAAGGGGTGGGGGCAGTTTGATGACATTCCTTCTGAAAGAATGTGTTGCCAAGGTGAAGATGAATACCATCAAAAGACTCATCAAAATTCCAGTTAGGCCCGGGGTTGATGCAACCAAGTTAGCGTAAGTGGGCTGGCGATACTTGAAAGGCTGACCTAGAATCGCCATGAATTTATCTCTTGAGCATGCGGCGACTCTCACAAAGTTGCAACTTGTATGCATCAGCGCATGAACAAACGTGGCAATGATAATTGCAAGGGCGATTATCTTATGGAAGGCGAGGTTATCATCAAAAGGGATTATTGCACCGAGGAATGACTCTCGGATGGTGGTGAGAGTTCTTCTGCACACAGGGAGCAGAATGAGAGCCATATTGAACTTTAGTGTCTCTGCAGAGCCTTTGGCTATGCATACACAATAGCCCATTATCTGGAAGGCTGCTAGGTGCTTGAACTGGTTGAACTTCCAGACAAAGAGTGTCATGTTGATGCACACCCACAATGTGAGTACCCATATTTGTTGCCACTTTTCGTGCATCTTTTCTCCTGTCATAGACATGAATTTGCTCACTGGATCTCTATACTGTTTCGGTATCATTGTTCTTGCCAATGTCTGCGTTTTCTTGAACTTCTGCTTGTTCCCGTCTTCCGATCCCACAATGTCTCTTAGTAGCGTTTCAAGTTTCCACATCTGCTTCATTTTACGAATTGTCAGTCACCATTAGGAGTAGTCCAAGTCCTTAAAAAGTTAGACAGAGATTTTTGGAAGAGAAGTGAAAAAGAAGACCTCTATGTATCCATTTTGATCAGGATCAAGCTCTTCCATGATTAAAGTGGCATAGGATCCGGCGTGTTGCTTAAACATGGACAATTTGTTGGCAGAAGCACTCATCACTAGAACCTTTTTCCAAAACATTCTTACTTATTGGTTGTTGAAAGTGAACCATATTAAACTCATAATGTAACTTTTCTCACCTCTTTAACCTCTTCTTCTGATAGCTTCCCGTCACCATTCTTGTCACACCTAAAAAATTCAGTTGGCTTAGACCTCTACTCCAACACACAAGATGAAATCCTCCACAAATTTCTTACATGTCAAAGAAAATATGAAGCCGTGTATCGAGGTCTTGGTCTGTCATGTCTTCCCAAAACATTCGCATTTCTTCTATAGAAATTCCATTCTCTGCTTCAATCTTCCTCCGCCTTGCCAAAGCATCAAATAACTCGGCCGCAAATTCCTTGCAGTCTCCCATTCCTTCAATGCATAAGTCATACAAAGCTTGGGTTAATTATAATTTAACTCTTGAGCCATTTCATGTAATCATGTTGACATATATTTTGTCCTATTCCTATAACTTTCTTTCTGATTGACTTTTTACAGCATTTGGTGCAAGACTTTGATCATTGTTATCTATAGTTCTACATAATAAAAAAACAAATGATATTCATTTCATTTTATCACACAATGTAATTTTAACCCAAATCTTCCTGAAATTTAATAAATTTTGATCTCAAGATTCAAAACAGGAATAAAATTATGGGACGGAGTGAATATAAATCAACATAAAAGGCATTAGAGTACACCAGATTAAATGGTTTAAGATGGAAATTGAAGCTTTGATATGGTATTAGAGCCCACTAAGCTCAAACAAACAATTTGATTCTAGTAAAGCTTCAGAAAATAAGAATAAAATTTATCACATGGTCTCTATTTCTCAAACAAGGTTATTGAAAAAAAATACCAATGCAGGCCCCAAATTTGTGCCTGTAAAGCCTCCCAGCATCTGCATTTTGATTGAAATGTCTCTCAATGTCTTTCCATGCATCTGCTTCCTTCCCCGTGACTGATCTATCGAGAAACCTTAGGCCATTGAACCCTCGCGACGCCCCTGATTGTATTACGGGGGCATCCGACGTGTTCTCCGTCTCCGCGTTTTCCAGAATCCATTTTACTGATGCTCCTCTCTGCAATTGTCCATTGAAAGCAGCCATTGATTTGAAATTTGGAAGATTTTGGATGAAGATTTGGAGGTTGGATTAAGGGAATGTCGCGATGGGGAGAAAGACCCTTCCCATTTGTCAAGGCTGCCATTGTCATCTTCCAATTCATGGTTCGTTGCACCCTCAAAATTGTTTTTGTGATTGGTGCTTTTAATAGGGTGTCCATTAGAAAAATTGATGATTGGTAATAGGATAAGAAAAATGCAGGGGTACCCCTCCATTTGCTAAGTGTAACCCATTTTCTACTCCAATGTTTTGCCCTGACACTAAATATAGGTGCAAAACTAGTAATATGCCAGTGTTGCACCTACATTAAATGTCAGATTAAAGTTTTGGGGTACATGTAGCATGGTCCTTGGTAATATAGTGCACTGAATGGTTGTTATAAAGGGTGCGTGGCATGCTTCGCACAAGTGATTCCATTATATCTGTGTTATGTGTATAAAGCATGGGTGTACCCCTGATAGTAACCATTTGAGAGCACTCTAGCTAGCAGCATGACCCGTTCCTGAATCCTCGGCCTCCCTACACTCTCCTTCCCTACCATGTCCCGCCTCTTAGAGCATCTCCAGTCATATCATTTTGATTTGTTAAAAGTTATAATATAGTAAATCAAACCATTTTGTAAATCTCAAAAAGTGTGCTATAAGAATCTTTTTAATAGTCGATAAACTATAAAATAGCCCTGCAACCCTGCTACCTCCTCTCCCTCCATGTCCCTTACCTTACCATTACATAAAATAGCCACAAGATCATCACTTCTTTTGTGATAGGTGCAGTTCATACGATGTTAGATGTTCGATTCAAAAAATTGATAATTCATATCCATAAATCGTCATACCTCCTTGTCTCGCCCCTTACTAATACATAAATTAGTCATAACATCATTACTTGTTTTGTGACAGACGCGATTCATGCGGGTGCTAAGTGTTTCATTCAAAAAATGGTCCGTACGCCAAAATTCCCAGCACCCTTGCACCCCCTCCTCTCCCTCCCCGTGCCTCCCCTTACTATTTCATAAAATAGTCACAATATCAACACTTATTTTGTGATAAGCACGGTTCATATGGTGTCAAGTGTTTCATTCAAAAAATTGATAATTCTACTTCTAAATTCCATACACCCTCCTCTCTCTCCTCGCCCCCCTTACTACAGCATAAAATAACAACATCATCACTTATTTTGTGATGGTGCGATTCATATGGTGCTAAGTGTTTCATTCGAAAAATTATTTATTCGTACCCCGAATTTCCAGCACCCATGAACCCCATTCTTCATCCTCGTCTCTTGCCTTACTACTACATAAAATAGTCACAACATCGTCACTTGTTTTGTGATGGGCGCGGTTCATATGATGCTAAGTGTTTCATTCAAAAAATTGATGATTCGTACCCCTAAATTCCTAGCAACCCTGCACCCCCTCTCCCTCCCCGTCACTTCCCTTACTATTACATTATATAGTCACAAGATCATCACTTGTTTTGTAATTGGGAGGAGGGGGGGACTCATATAGTGCTAAGTACTTCATTCAAACAATTAATGATTCCTATCCTTAAATTTCCAACTCTTCACCCCTCATCTCCCTCCTCGTTCTTCCCCTTAATACTGCATAAAATAGTCACAACATCATCAGTTGTTTCATTATGGGCGCGGTTCGTATGATGATAAGTGTTTCATTTGAACCATTGATCATTCATACCCCTAAATCTCATGCACCCCTTCTCGCTTGGTGTCCCTCTCTTACTAATGCAACCAATGTGCTAAGGAAAGGGGGGCTAGGGCTGGGAATTTAGAGGGGATTATAGTCGATAAGAATCATTAATTTTTCAAACAAAATACAATAAGAGCCTCATGTCATATTTTAACATTGGAAGTCAATGTCACATGAAGGACGACGTTTTTAGTTTTTACACGAACATATCTGTGTGTTTAGATAGATGTGTGTCATTGAGAATTTATGTAATTAGTGTATTACACTCTTGGTTTTGGTTTATGTCATATATTCTATAATTACAACATCAACATGTACTTTTTCAGCATTGTCATGTATTTAGTAATGTTTGTTGTGCTTATAAGCATGCCAAAATTACTTATAAGCTATTTTTAATTTATAATTCAATTGTTGATGTATTTTTCTGTGATTATAAACTGACTTATAAGTTGCTGATAAGTCTAAAAGAAACAAATAGTTCCTAGCTACTTATTTTTAAGTTAATTTTTTTATTTCTCAATTTTGACAATATTATTTACAAAATTATCATCACATTTTATGAACATCTCCAAATGAGTTATCTCTCATTTAATTAAGTTATTTTACTTCAACGAATAGATATCACTCCCTCCATTCTAAAATTATCTTCTCAGTTACTATTCACACGGTCAAACTTAAATCACTTTCTTTACTTCTCTTCGTTAGTTATTTGATAAAATAAAATATTCTTGTCACATCTTATTTTGTAAAACTTTTGATGTAGTTTTTAAATGTATAAATTTAATTTTTTAATTTTACACCTATAATCAAATAAACTGAATTGAAAATAATCTCGGTCAAACCTCGTAAAACCAAACGACAAGATAATTTTAGGGCGGAGGGAGTAACTTATAAGTTAAAAACTACTTATCACTAATAAGACAATGAAACCCAACACAGAGAAATACTCATGAGTTTGACTGAAAGAGTTTAATAGTTCAATTAGGGATGACAATGAGTCGGGGTTTAGTCGGATGGAGCTTCACACTCTTTCATTCATTAACTATACATCCATAACCTGGTTCATCTATCATTCATTACATACATCACCCATCATCTAATCCATCTATCACCTGCAGGTAAAACGAGTGATATAAGTAATAAAGTTTTAATTATTAATTCCATGAAATGAAAATCTTATGAAGCGCATATTACCACAAAAAAATATTGAAAAAAAGAGACTATTGATGTATGTGATGAAATCTTACATTATTATTGTTAGCATTATAGGTCTTATTTTAGGATAATTACATAACAATGTTATTTTAGTTTTTTCTCTATATTTTATTCTTATTTTAATATTTCTTTTAATACTCCGTATTTTGGTAAACTTAAGTCCACTTTGATTTTGTTGACTTTATTTAAAAATTTAAATTTTGTCAATATTGATAAACCTTTTTGAGTTTTTGAGCCTACCATATTAAAATGATGTGAAAAGCACATATTAGATGCGAGTGTTAGGACCATCAAATAAATACTCTCAAATGACAAATTATTATGTAGATTTTAGCTTTACATTCACTTTATTGGACTTTATTATATAAACAGTATAAAAGAATTAACCTTTTACAAAAAAATATACTTGTAAATTCATACACAAAATACAAAAAGAAAATCATAATTTTCATGTGGACCTTAAGAATATACAAACAAAATTAAATTTGAATTGAATGGGAAGGGTAGCCGAATAGGGGAATATAGGGAAGAAAACGAAAATTCAGTATCAGGAAAATATGGCCCACGTCACTCCTGCTTCAACTCGGCACCTTGACTCAGTACCCAACTCACCCTTCTCCTTCTCTCCACCCCCCTTCCATCACCCATCAGCCCAACCCGACTCTTACCGACCCGCTTTCTCTAACACTCCCTTTTATTGCAATTCTGCAAACCCTTTCTTTCCATCTTTCTGCCCATTCTCGTCTTCTTCCGCTCCCTCCCGCCGTCGTCTTCCTCCGCCTTTCCACCTCCGCAGCAGCTTGGGTGCACCGGTTTCTCCCCAACATTCGCACGCAGTGTATCCCCGACCTTCCCCGGCGGTCAATTTCCCCATTTTATAGGGGTTCCGCTCAGTCCTCTGGGAAGGCATTTTTATTTCCCCTCCAATGGTGGCGTTCAATTTTCCCTCCTCCCTCCCTCCCTCGCTCTCCGGATCCCAGGTGATTTTCGATTCTTTGTTCTCTGTCTTCTCTAATTTTTTGGTGCCTTTTAATATAGTGGGAAATTGATTTTTTTTTTTTTGCAATTATTTGGATTTCTCTGCTCAATTTTCAGTCTATGTATTTTTGGTTTAGAATTTGAGATGTTTTATTCGGAATTTGAAATTTTCTAGGGTTTGAGTGGACAGTGAAGTTGGGTTCTTCAGCATAATTTTGCTGGAGAGAGGGTGTGATTTTGGGTTGATGTCACCTTGAATGGCTATAGAAAAGAATTGCTTCAAGCCATCAAAATTGGACTCGGAGCTTTCTTCACACAGTAGGGAAGTAGTGATGTCTAGTGACGAGGAGGAGTTCCAGAGGTATAACAATAATTCTAGTGCCGTTGAATCCGAAGAAGACGATGACGAGGAGTTTGACGATTGTGATTCAGGGGCCGGATCAGACGACTTTGATTTGCTGGAACTAGGCGAGTCTGGGGAGGAATTCTGTCAGGTTGGGGATCAGACTTGCAGCATTCCTTTTGAACTGTATGATCTCCAGGGTTTGGGTGATGTCTTGTCCATGGATGTCTGGAATGATGTCTTGAATGAGGAAGAAAGGTTTACTCTCACACAGTACCTTCCCGACATGGACCAAGAAAATTTCATGAGGACATTGATAGAGCTTCTGACGGGGTGCAATTTGCATTTCGGGAGCCCTCTCAAAACTCTGTTCGATATGCTGAAGGGAGGGTTGTGTGAGCCAAGAGTGGCACTTTATCGCCAAGGATTGGTGTTCTTTCAGAAGCATCATCATTATCACACCCTGAGGAAGTACCAGAATGTGATGGTCAACACTTTTTGTCAGATTAGGGACGGATGGCGAAACTGCAGGGGATACAGCATTGAGGAGAAGCTCCGTGTTTTGAACATCATGAAAACTCAGAACAGTTACATATCTGAGAAGATGGAAGAAATGGAAGAGAGTGATGAATCTGAGAGAGAGGATTCCGGTGATACCTCATTTTGGAGTAAGAGAGTTAAAGATCGAAAACACGGACAAGTTTTACTATATCCTGGAAAGCAAATGACTGTGGGAACTGCAAAGTTTGGGAAGCAAAATTCAAAAGGTGCGTTGAAGTTAACTGGGACATCTACTGCAAAAGAGTTTTCTGGAAGCTTCCCATCCGTTCATCATGAGATGGACACTAGAGCTGGGACCTTCGGTGCACTGCCCCTTTCTCATCATATGAGAGATCGGTTATTGGGTGATGAGGATGACGATGGAGGAGTGCATGAAGTGGCGGTTCAGAGAGATAGAAACTTCTCTCGAGCTGGGATGAAGGATAAAGCAGGGAATTTAAAGATGAGGAGTAAACTGGATGGATTGAGAACTGAAGAAGAATACTTTGATGGTTCGACTGGACGTTCTGTGCCTCTGAAAACAGAGTTTTATGGACCTGGCAGGAAAAAGGCTGGCAATCACTTGTTCGATGTCCACGTGTTGAACAAATCCTTGAATGGTAGAGCTCCTTTAGATTTTGCGAATAAATCAAACTATGCTGAGAATCTTCAGCAATATCCTTTTGAAAATAATATGATATATGGGAAAGGTCGGTGTCCAAATCCATCTCTTAAAGGAGGTCAAGTGGAATTAGCTGATGATTGTGAGCCATTTTGGCTTGGTAGTGAACAAACGGGTCCTAATTATTATAGCAACCAATCTCATCGGAAATATGGTGATTGGAATTCCAAAAGCAAAAAGTTGAAGCATCAAGAGCCTTCTGAGTTTCATTCAGGATATACCAAAGCAAAACCATTTCAAGGGAAGTTCAAGGCATCCTTGCACATTGATCAACGAGGTGTGGCTGGGTCCAACAAAGGCAGAAGGGAAATTATCAAAAACGAAGACACCGAATCTGATTCATCAGAAGGAATTGATGAAGAAGAAGATGATGCTGACAACAATCCCTTGCTAAGGAGCAAGTTGGCATTTCCTTCTCATGCCCTCCCAGACATGAAATCTGGCTCAGAGGCTTATAAGAAGGATCAATTTGTTCGAAAAAACACAACGGGTGGGTTTCTGTCTCATGATTTTGATGAACCATTATTAACTTCATCCAAAGTGGGGACGAATCTTGTCTCACAGAAGAATGGGAAGAAGGGTAAGATGCTGCTGCGTGATCATGAGCATGTGAATATTTTATCTGCTAAAGACTTGTGTGGCAACTACTTAAGTGGACAGGGGCATCATTTCATAGGTGATCATGATGAGGATGATGATAACCAACCAATCTACAACATGGCAAAGAATGACCGTATTAAAGGGGCATTGTTGAAAGGAGAAATTAGACATGAGTTATGTGGTCCCCAGTCAAATGGTATGTCTGAAATGTATGGTGGTGATCATCATCTAGAAAGATCCGAGTTACAGTTAATAGGGTGTAACACTACAGCAAAGAAGCGGAAAATCAAGGAGGGAGTCTCGTTTATTGATGAGCAAGCTGCTGATAATAATGAGCATAGTTATACACATCAGTTGCAGCAAGCAGAGGATGTGGGCTCTTCGAAGAAGCAGCGGGGGAAAAGGAAATTGGAAAGCGACACAGAAAAAGGAGTCTCTGAGCTGCTGCAGCCATTGGATATCAGTATTAACGAAGACGATAGTGCTCATCATCATCAAGAAGCCATACAAGTGCAGAAAAAACCATTCACTTTGATCACACCTACTGTCCATACTGGCTTCTCCTTCTCCATCATCCATCTTCTCTCAGCCATTCGGGTGGCTATGGTCACTTCCCTCTTAGAAGATTCTATGGAGGTCGTTAGCAAGAAAGAAGATGACGGAGTTCGAACCCAAGCAGCAGAGTTGTTGGACATCAACAATAGCTCACTTTCTCCTTCTCGTGAAACGAGGGCTACCCCGTCTCTAGATATTCAAGAAATTGTTAACCGTGTGAGATTCAACCCTGGAGATCCCTCCATTCTTGAAACCCAAGAACCGCTCCAAGATCTGGTCAGAGGGGTCCTCAAAATATTCTCATCAAGAACAGCACCGTTAGGAGCAAAGGGATGGAAGCCTCTTGTTGTTTATGAGAAACCATCAAAGAGTTGGTCCTGGGTGGGCCCAACTCATCACGAGGCACCTATGGATGAGGAGGAAGTCACCTCTCCAGAAGCATGGGGTCTTAACCATAAAATGCTTGTTAAGTTAGTTGATTCTTTTGCCAACTGGCTGAAGAACGGTCAGGAGACACTCCAGCAGATAGGGAGTCTTCCCCCTCCTCCTTCCTCATTGTCGCAGTATAATTTGGACGAGAAAGAGCGGTTTAGGGATCTGAGGGCACAAAAGAGTCTCAGTACCATTACTCCTAGCTCCGAAGAAGTAAGAGTTTATTTCCGGAAGGAAGAGGTCCTCAGGTATTCAATCCCTGACAGGGCCTTTTCTTACACGGCCATCGATGGGAAGAAGTCTATTGTGGCCCCCTTGAGAAGGTGTGGCGGAAAACCGACATCGAAAGCCCGGGACCACTTTATGCTTAAAAGGGACCGACCGCCACACGTGACGATCCTGTGTCTTGTACGGGACGCAGCCTCACGACTACCCGGAAGTATCGGGACCAGAGCCGACGTGTGTACTCTGATCAGGGATTCACAGTACATTGTTGAGGAGGTTTCTGATGCACAGGTCAACCAAGTGGTCAGTGGCGCATTGGACCGTTTGCACTATGAACGGGACCCATGTGTGCAGTTTGATACAGAGAGAAAGCTGTGGGTGTACTTGCACAGAGAGAGGGAGGAAGAGGATTTCGAAGATGATGGGACCTCATCCACTAAGAAGTGGAAGAGGCAAAAGAAAGAAGCTAATGAAGATGTTATTCTTGACCAACAAGGAGGGGCTGCTACTGCTGCCGCTGCTGCTGTGACCATTGCTTCTTACCACGACGATGATGAAGATGGTGGGGATCTTCTTCCTGGCGAGGACAATTTTGATGATGGTGAAACATAGAGAACCAAAAACCACCTTCTTCTGGTGAGTATATTTATGGTGTCTCTATCTGTCAAATTCCTTTGTTTTGTACGTATATTAAAAGAGTAATGCTAGGGCTACACCAAGTTGTACCTATCCACCAGCATTCTCAAACTTTTATATCCACACCAAGAGATGTGTGGTGGAGAGATGGTTGGGGTACAATTTGGTGTACCCCAAACATTCTTGGTATATTAAGGTCCCGTTTGGCATTAGCGTTAGTGTTTTGAAAAAAAACTATCCGACGGTAGTCTTAAGCGTTATCATTTCAAAACTAATCTACACGATTAAAATCTTATCCAAAACGTTAGTGCTAATCGAAAATGATGTTCCCAAACAAGGCCTAATTTTGGATGGGGTTTCCTATGTGACTTTCAGGATGTGTGTTGGGTGGTGGATGCAAGCTACCGGCGCGTGTGATCGTATCATGATTGCTGCTACAAGGTCTGCTACGCTCTGCACTTCGAGAAGTTTTATGTATATTTTGTGATGCATATTACAGTAGCACTCTGATTATATGAATATTATCCTGGTGGGTGATAGTTAGTACTTACTACTACACTAATAAAAGAGTTATTTTTTTCTTTTACCCTTCTTCATATGGACTCCGATAATTATGCTGCTTGTACCACACCCGGTTTCGGCATGTTTGTGTAAATTTTTATAATAATCTTTTAGAAAAATGTGTTTGTTCGATGTTTGTACCGCTAATGTGTCACAAATATGACGACTCTGACTGTATAATTTTTCCAAACTCAACACTCACAATGTGACTGCAAGTTTCATACTCTTAAAAATGTGTTTGTTCATCAAAGAATGCTCATACCAATGTTCCATAGTGATTGATAGTGTTAGATGGCTGTTTCTATGTGGCCTTGTGAATCAATCTCTTTTTTTTGTCTAGTTTATTCTCCGTTTGAACTACTCAAATCTTGAAAGGAAAAATTTACATGAATACTCCAAGAAATGAGTGATTTTA